GGGAGGGGAGAGACAGTTTGCACGCTGCTCTTGGACAAGAAGAAGGCCCCCTACGCGACGCTGCGCGACGCCTGCCGACGCCTGCCGACGCCCCACCCCCAGTGTGTCTATAAGGACGTGTCCGTCTTATCAAGGACACGTGCTGGCTGCGCGCCATGCGGCACGGCGCGGCGGTGTCGCGGCGGCCTGCGCTGTACAGGAGCTAAGCAGGGCCTGCTTGATGTGCCCCAGAGTGACCCCCGGAGGTGGCCAGCAGGGGGAGGACGACGTAAGCAGCGTTCCACGCAACAAGAACAAGTCAATAAAATCAAGGAAAACTCACCTCTATTGTGGGACATTGAATCCTCGCGCGACCGTCGGTGTCGGTAAAGTAGTGCTGAGCCGCAACAGTTCATCCCCCAACTCCACACACACAAGCACACAAACGTACACACGCACACTCTCACACACACACACTCACGTCGCATGGACGCGTGCCGGACAGGAGTTCATTGGGGCACGTCCACCACGTCCACGGCGTCTGGGCGAGATTCTAACCCGGTTTGACTAATGGTGCCGTGGCCAGCCCCTTGTGTGTGTGTGTGCCCTTGCTGGACCCATTTTCGCCTTGCCGGGGAAAGAGAGACGGAGTGGGAGAGGGAGAGAGAGGGAGAGAGAGAGGGAGGCACGCCGCAAACTGACCATGTTCTATTTGTCAACGCGAACAATAATTCACTTGTCACTGGGCCAGTGGAGGACTAATCGAGCGACCCCGCGTCGCACCTTCGGGGCGCGTCAGTCTGTGTGTGTGTGTGTGGGGGGGGGGGTTCTGTCAGTCTTTTTGTCTCCAAGGCGCACCTGAAACATGCGGGCTCTGAAGCAATGTGCAACGCGCGGGAAATTCATCCCCGAGCCGAGCGCGCCTGCGGGCTGAGGTATGCAACCCGGGCGGCAGCGCTGCCGTGGCTTTGCGGCGGTCCGGGCGGCGGTCCGGGCGGGCCGACTGGCCGGGAGCCGCTTCGCCCGGTTTGGCTTTGGCTTTGGCGCGGAAGCAACTCAATCCGGTAGGCCGTGCCGTGCTAGGCCGTGCCCGCCTGGCTGCGCAGGCTACGCTAGCACCGCGCGCTGGGCCAGTGGGACAACATTGCTTTCACATCTCCATAATTTAGCTTAGTGCCGCCTCCCCCTCTCTCACCGTGTAATCTGCCCCGCGCAGCGCGGCGCCGCCCCCGCCCGTCTCTCTCGCACTCGCGGCGCCACCCGCGCTGGCCCCGACCCTCTCTCTCGCACCCGCGAGGACGCCGCCGAGCCGCGCCGCCGGGACGGCCGGGACGCGCTCAGTCACTCTTGACGGAGTTTAGGAATCCTCGTCTAATTGTTTCATTAAATTTAATATCGCGGTGGTGTCGGCCTGGTCGGGGTGGCGGTGAGTGGCGGGGTGGGAAGGGGTTGTCGGCTTACGTGGGGCTTATGAGAGATTTGTCGGTCTGAGCCGCGCAGCCCGCGCAGCCACAACAAGGGTGGGACCAGTGTGGGGCCGTGTGGGGCCGTGTGGGGCCGTGTGGGGCCGCCCGGGCCGCCCAGGTGCTCCTCGCGTCCACGGCGTCCGCGGACAAAGGACAAAGGAAAGGACAAGGGACGCGGCCACTGACAGTGTATCGTCTAGAGCCACTTCAGGCGCCACTTAAAAAGCTATGCGTAAATAAGCAACAAGCAGGACATTTATTCGCCAGTTTTCAAAGTTTCACCCCGGCAGTGACCCCTATGGGCCAGCGGGTGGAAAGCATCTTCACGACCTTCAAAGCATTGCCGCCCGTTCCTACGACCACACCGCACCGCCCCACACCCCTCGCCCGCCTCGCCCCGTTCGCACGGTTTTATGAAACGACGCGCCTGCCCGGAGTGCAAGGCGTGCGTGGCTTGCGTGGCGCCATTTGGAAGTGAAGGTAACGCGGTTCGATTCCCGCTTTGAATTATGAGTTTCTTTTTCCTGCGCGACGCGCGCCCTCTCCCCCGTCCAAGGTGCGCGGGGCGAACGGCGACAAACAACAAAGGGGTGACGTTGTTGTTGTTTTGCATCGCGGTAAATTCAAAGTGCGGCATGTGTTGGCGGGAAAGTGTTAGCCGCACTTACGGTGGAGGCGTCCACTGGCCCGCCGCCGCCTTTTAACTTCCAGCACACGATCCCGCTATACAAAACACTTTGCTCCTCACCTCCCCAATCACATCACCCCCTCTCCCTCCCCCTCCCTCCACACACGTCGCGGCACGGCGGCACGGCGGCGCGGCGGCGGGGAAACTAATTTGGAACGCATCGCGCGGAATCGCGCGGCGCAGAGAAGAGAAAAGAAAGAAAGATTCCTTCACCCTTGCCTCCCTTATCCTTCCGCGTCTCGCCCTGTCTTTGTTTTTTTTTCTGTCTCCTTTCTTTTTCTTTTCTTATTTTCTTGGTCCCTCCTCCTTCCTTGCCTTGAATCGCATGATCCGAAGATAACCGTGCGGATCAGAGCCGTGTCTTTGCTGTGCTTGAAGGTGGCCTGTGTGGGTTCCCGTCAGCAGAGAGAGTGTGTGTGAGTGTGTGTGTGAGAGAGAAAGAGAGAGAGTTGCGCGCGCGCTCCACCCTCCACCGCACTGGTGGTGCAGGCTGAGCAGCGCTCCTTGCTGGCAGATCTCCCCGCCATGTTTGATAGATGGCGCGGTTTGGGGTCTCCCCTATCACTCAAGGGTTGCCACCGCGCCGCGCCGTGCCGCGCCACGCCGTGCCGCGCCGCCGCCGGAGGAAGGGTTCCCGCGAGTGCCTCCGAGAGTATGTGCGCCTCCCGATCCGCAGCGCGCACGGAGCGCACGGAGCGCACGGAGGGGAATGAGGCACTGCCTCGCGGGAAAAAGAGCGGCGGCGTCGTTCGTTGTTTCACCGGCAGTGTACCATCAGTTTCGGTCGCGTCGAGTACGGAGAGAGTACCCCTTTCTGGCCAGGCGAGGCAGAGGGCGGTAGACGGCGGGGTGGCTAGGCGGCAGCGCGGCAGGGCCTCCTGTTGCTGGTGTTGCCGCCGGCCGGGCCATTCATTTGGCCGTTGGAGAGACAGAGACAGGAGATTGATGGCGCGACCTTGCCGTGCTTGGCCGTGCTTGGCTAGCTATGCGCTGTCATACTAGTACCTGCCTGGGCTGTCCAGGTTGTCCACCAGGTTGTCCACCAGGTGTCCAGGTTGTCCAGGCTCTCCAGGCTGTCCAGGTTGCCGAGGTTGTCCAGGCTGTCCAGGTTGCCTAAGCTGCGCACAAGGGGGTAGCAGATGTGCCTCCTTTGCCTTTGCCGCCTGGGAGGTAGGCAGCCAAAGTGTCACGGGCCCGCCGCGGTGCGAGAGGTGCGAGCGGCCGCCACCACCACCACCACCACACCACCACCACCACCACCACACTGGCGGCTGGCGGGGTCCGCAATGCCCCGGAGTGCGGTGCCGCATGTCTGCGAATCCCGCTCAAGTTCGATTTGCCTTCCAAAATTCGGGGAAAGAAAAATACCGAGGAGACGCACGCGGGGCCGAAATTGAGAGCGGCAGCGTGACAAAGATGGCGAAGACGGGGTGGAAGGGGGGGGGGATATGAAATCATGACCGCCGGGCGCCTGGCGGGAAGCACTGGGAGCAGCCGTCGGGGGCAGGGCCTTGCAAGGCCTCGGCGGGGGCGGGCCGGGCGGGGCCCGCCGCCCAGCCGCAGCATGAGCATGTAGATGACGGGGATCACGGCGGAGCGGGGGACGAGGAAGGCGCGGCGTGCACGGCGGGCACGGCGAGATGGAAAGGAAGTGTCCTTTCCCCTTATCTTCGTGACTTCGGTGACTGACAAGACGTGCCCGTCATACCGCCACCTACGCCCCGACGACAGCGCCCCACGACGACGACGACCCCGGAGGCGGACCGGCCGGAAATTTTCCGTCGACAGGCCGGGGAGGGGGAAAGGGGGTGGGGTGCAGAACAAGATCAAAACCAAGAGGATCAGGAACAAAAACAAGCGGAGAAACAGAAACAAAGACAAAACAAGCAAAACAAAGATTCAGATTTTGGAACAATGTCACGTTGCGTCCGCAGATGCCCTATGTGGCTGTGCCACAAATCGAGGTGACGACCGCCAGCGGAAATAAATTCATCGGAATGGTCTCGGTTTCCGGAAGCCGGGCGGTGGCCGAGCCGCGGCCGAACAGTCACAGCGCGCCGCCCCCGCGGTGCAACCAACCCGAACCCACCCGCCGACTGGCCGACCTTGCCGCGGCGCTCGCCGGCACTCGCAGTGTGGCGGCAGGCAGCCGCGGTGGCGGCGACCGTCCCCCGTCAACACTCACACTGACGCGGTACACAACAGCAATAGTAAAGTAGCCCAAATCATATACCGTGCTGCAGTTTGTCAACTGGCATTGCTACGACCCTTCCCCCCTCCAATTTCGCAATCTCCCTCCTTTCCTCTCTCCCTTCTCCTGCATGCGTGATTTTTCATAGCTAGGCACGCGCGCATATTGCCAAGTGTATGAGAAATCGGCGTGGACGATGTGCCGCCGCCCGCACACACATGACACACACACCAACACACACCGCACCAGACAGCGAGATAACATGACGCAAAAAACGGTCGATATCACTCTGTCATCGCACCGCAAGAATCCCCCTCCCCCTCCCCTCCCCCTTCCCCTCGCCGCCCCGAATCGTGTGCCCACCGGTGAGGCTCGCGCATACCGCGACACCATTTGATTTGCGCGTGAGGAGAGCGGAGAGAGACAGAGAGAGAAAGAGGGGGAGAGGGGGAGAGAGCGAGGGTGACAGAGGAAGAGAGAAACGGGGTGTGGAGATCGATCGTGGATCGGAAGTAGCCCCGAGCCTGATAAGACGCGGCCTGATGACGCTGGCCGAAAATAGCTCCAGCACCGCCGCCCCGCCGCCACCCCGCCACCCTCCCGACGGCCCGGGCGGGCTTGGCCGGGCTTGGCGCACCGGCCGCAACATGCAAACAGCCGTACTGTTCCTGGGGTCATGAGTCTCCGCCACAACTCGAAACTATTCAGAGATCAGGTATGAATAAGAATAACGCGAATGTTTGCCGCGGGCCCTGTTTCTTTGGTGGCCCGAAGTGGTGGCGTTTCATTGATCGATGGATTACATTCTGCAGTCGCTCTCAAATGGGGAAGCAGAATAATCGCGAAACCGAAACAGCCGGCGGCGATCCAGTAAGAAACGATTTGGATGGGACGCATTATATTTAGCTGGTCAGTGCTTATTCTCAACTCCCAACGTGTTATGTGTAACAAGCAAGGAGTGCCCAGCGCGGCGGGGTGACGTCTGCTGCGGGGAAGTACCAGCCCCGCGCGGTGCCCGGGCTGCCCGGACTGCCCGGACTCTGCGGGGCGTGGCGGCGCGGCGCGGGCAGCCCCGCCGGCCCCGCCAGCCGGCGGACTGCAGCAGACGACGCGGCAGTGGCAGTGTGTCACCTGCAGACTCTGCCGACGGACGACGCGGACGACGGACGGGGCGGCCCCCTCACTGGCAGCCACCTCACTGGGCCGACCGGCTGCTGCGCCCGAGCGCGCCGCCTCTGCCTTCGTCCGGAAGTGACCGGAAGTGACCGGAGGACCGCGGCGAGGGACACGAGAACTGCCCAGCGCCCTGCCCTGCGACGGGGGAGGGTCCGAGCGGCCGTCTCAGACACGTGAGTGCAGAGTGACTTGAACGCGAGGTGCACCTCGACGGCCACCTGTCAGCCTGCCATTCCAATCGCGTTGCTGCCGATGCAAACCGACTCATTCGCCTTCCTGGGGGATCGCTCGTTATTTCGGCCGTGTCGGTGCGTGTCGGCTACATTGTTGCGGTCCTGTCGATGGCACGGCAGCGGCACGCGGCGTGTGGACCAGGCCCGACCAGGCTTCGCAATGGCAGCGCGCCACGCGAGTGTGTATCTTGATTTTGCTTATCTTGCTGTAGTTTTAAATTGGATTGTTTCTTGGCTGTGAAAGCATGTAAGGTCAGCCGCCATCGACATTATTTTTTCAACTACAATTTTTTTCATTCATTTTTTTTTTTTAGAAAAAGCGAAATATTGGCAGCGTGATAGGGGAGGTCCTAATCAGTCCGCGGTCTCGGCCCGGCTGGTGCGGCTGGTGGCTGCGGCGCGCTGAAGGGTGACGCGGCTGGACAAGATAAAACAGCGAGCAAAATAGTTCGCCGAATCGACGGCAGATAGCGCGCCGCACCGCAACGCACCGCCACAGTGGCCACGCAACGCGATCGAAAAGTAGGTAGGCGGCCTAAAATGCGTCTCCGGACGAGGAAATCGAAATCGGCGACGATTATTTTTAGTGGCCTCGACGAAAAGGCAGTGACTCTGAAAAGCGGACTGGCAGTCGAGTTACGATTTTCTCTGCGATTACAATTTAATGGTCTTCAATTTTTCACTAATTTTTCAAAATTTTACTGAATTTTAAACAGAGCAGCAGTTTTTTTTTTCGTTTGTTTATCAGTGGAAATGTTTTCGGGCACGAGCGAGTGCCTCGGAGGCCCCGACGAGTCAGCCGCTGTCTGCCTCGCGAAAACAATAAGCAGGTACTGCACTGCACATGCCCCTCGCGCGCCACGCCACCCCGCGGCACGGCACGCACGCCACGCCACGCACGCACGCACGCCACGCCGCGGCACGGCACGGCGCGGCCCGCGGCGGGGCAACACGCAGACGCAACCGGGCGCTGCGTGGCGCGGGGTGGCGCGGCGCGGGCGGCGCGGTCAGAGAGAAAAAACCCAAAGAAGGGCCGAACTGACATCAGCGAGGTTGTTGTTCGGACCGGCATTCTGTCGGAGCCGAAGTCGCGCCGGCGGAAATAAAGAAGACGCGTGGAAAGGTTGTTGTTGCTGCTGCTGTTGGTGGACCATTGGTGGTGCTTTTGTTTAGGAATTGTCTTGGCCAGGTCATGTAAAGCAAATAACTTAAATTTTCGTTCGGCGCAGAGAAGGGCTGCAATGCGTTGGGTGCTACGGTATTTCAGTGCATTCTTGTTCCGAAATGGCGCATTCTGATTGGCCATCCCCCTCTGCCCCCAGGCTCCCCGAGTGTACTCCTCGGACATGGGCGACGCGGCGGCCGGCGCCGACCTCCCGCAACTCGCCCAACAGGAGGACCTGTCCCCGCTGGTGGCCAGCTTCGTCTTCAGCTTCGACAGCGGCGACGGCGGCGTCACGACCCCCTCTGGCGGCGGCCTCGGCAAGCTGGGCCAGCCCGTGGCCGCGGACACTGGCGGCGACGCCATCGAGTTCCTGTCCGTGTTCGACCTGGACTCGCAGCGCCACGAGGACCTCCTGCAGCTCGACAACTACGACCACCGGCCGAGCTTCGACGACCTCGCGCAGGACCAGGATCAGGACATGCTGCTGAAGCACTACTTGATGTGCCTGGACCGCACGGGCCCCGGCGCCGGCCCGGTCGCCGCCCCCGTTGCCGCCCCCATCGCCGCCCCCGTCGCCGCCCCCAGCGGCATGGCGTGGCGGCCGCACGAGGAGCCCCCGCCCCCACATCCACCCCCCGCCCCGCTGCCGCCCCCGCACTACGCCCCGCCACAGTACGCCGACTACCATGTGTCCACCACCACGCTGCCCGAGTGCACGGAGCGCTTCCACCACCACGACGACGACATCGTGGACGAGGACGGCGACGTCGTGTCCTCCAGCGTGGGCCTCGACCAAGGCATGGGGTCCCTGAAAGGTGCGCGATGTAGCCTGAGCAGAGGGTAGCCGCTGCAACTGGATTGACCCGGCGTGCCCGGACCGAAGGGGCCGAAGCCGGGCCGCCCTGACAGAGGGGCCCTGCTGATAACCTTGCCAACGCGCGCGATCCCACGGATCCCTGAGGGATCGCTCGAAATCCCGTGGAATCCCGCGGACGAAGTGTGTCGGGCTGCCGAGCCAGCCTAGACAGCCGCGCGGGGTTTGGGGTTTTGCGCTTCGGCCGCGCCGAGCGCCACCCGTCCAAGCCCTCTGAGCGGGATGGAAAGCCGGCATTCAAGTTGGAGGAGTTTGGGAGGGAGGGGGGAACTCTGCAAATCCGTCGCCGGCCGGCGGGAGGACACAGTGCCCGGTGCACACGGTGCGGATAGATTCTCGCCAGTTTATATGCTCAATAAGTGTACAGCGGCGTGGCAGGTCTGTCTGTCGCCCAGGGTGTGCGTCAATCCAGCAGCAGCCACTCACTCCAGCTTCCAGCCTCCAGTTTCTAGTTTCCTCCGGCTTCGCGGAACGATGATAAGATGCGACACTTTTGCTGGTGGATAGCGCCACCGCCGCTGCTCTCCCACCGGGGACTTCTCGAGCGGGACGTTCGAATACTCACGCGCTACGTATACGAGTCGATTGCTGGAACAGAGCGAATAAGTTTTTCTCACGTGCTTCCTTTTTGTTCAACTGAGTCTTGTGTTCGCAGACCTCTGCTCGGGCACCGCGTCGACGAGCGGTGATTCGGCACTGGACTCGGTCCTGGACGCGGCGGCCTCCACGTCCAGCACGTCGCCGTCGACGGCCAGCAAGCGCGCGCGCACGGCCTACACGTCGGCGCAGCTCGTGGAGCTGGAGAAGGAGTTCCACTTCAACCGCTACCTGTGCCGGCCGCGGCGCATCGAGATGGCGTCGCTGCTGAGCTTGACGGAGCGCCAGATCAAGATCTGGTTCCAGAACCGCCGGATGAAGTACAAGAAGGAGCAGCGCGGCCGCGGCGCGGACGACGTCAAGTCCGTCAAGCCGAGCCTCAGCCCCGCGGCCTCGGTGTCGTCCAACAGGTCCGCGTCGCCGCCGGGCTGCGGCCGCGGCCCCTGCACGCCCCCGCCGCCGCGGCGGCACAGCAGCGCCCACGTGGGCAGCACGCTGCAGTACTTCGCGGCGGACGCGCCGCAGCCCTTCCGGCACCTGCACGCCGAGCACGCCGAGCACGCCGTGGACGCGGACGCGTACCAGTGCCGCTTCCCCGACCCGTACCGCGCCGCCGCGCCGCCCTTCGCCGACCTGGCGCTGCCGGCCGCGATGCTGGACCGCAGGGACTCCTCCAGCGACTGGGAGGCGGACGCCGTGCTGCCCTGGATGCAGGCGTCGCCGCACACCGCGTCGCCGGGGGGCGCGGCCGCGGACTGCTAGCGCGGCGGGGCACTTGTTGTCCAGCCGCACGCCGCGTTCTCGGTCTCGGACGCCCAGCCCAGCCCAGCCCACGGCCCGGCCCAGCCCACGGCCCGGCCCAGCCAGGTGAAAGACCTGGCGCTGCAGCGCTGCATCGCTCCGAGCTTTATCTTATCGAGCCGGAGCCACCGGAGCCACCGGAGCCCGGACCTGCCTCGGCCGTGCCGCCTTGGTGCCGCCACACCGCCACGGCCATGTCATGTCCGCATCAAAATAACAGCCTGGACGGCAACCTTCCGGGAAAGATTGGCCTCCCCCACGCCGCTCTTGTTCGTCTCAAGGCTGGGCCGAGTCGACCGACCCGTCGGACGCGTGTGTTTTAAGGTACATAATATTGTGATAACTTTTAAGATTATTGTTCTACGTCGCGTTGCGTGTGATTGTTGTTGTTTGTTGCACCGTTAAATAAATTTCCGTGTGGAGTGATTACTTGCTGAATTTGTCTTACATTACAAACAGTCCGACGGACTGGAAAACACCGCAGCCCCGCCAAACACACATAAAACGCGATCCTGGTGAAGGAACTGGCGACAGTCCTCCCCCTCGGTGTTGATCCGGCAGGCCAGGCCGGGCCAGCGCCTCCATGACAGAAGTTGACAGACAGGCGCGCGCCGTGGCCGCCAGGGCCGCCAGGGCCGCCATGCCACGGCCGCCATGCCACGGCCGGCCGGCAGGGATCCCATGCAGATCACACCGCAAACTTTGCCAATAAGGTCTGGGGATGGGGAGGACGGGGCTTCCCTCGCCGCCACCACAGCCCCGCTCCTTACCATAACCATGTTAGTATTCCCAAGTCTTTTCGCGTCATGGATACTGGTTCCAAACAAACGCAACCGCCGCCTTGGACCGATGAAATTCCGAGTTTTGTCCGAGGTAGGGTGTAGGGTGGCCGCGTGGCGTCCGGTTCTCTCCGTCGCGCCACCCCTTTGGGCCCTTCCCCCTCCCCCTCCCTCCGCCTCAGCGCTGCGTCCCATTCGCCTCTCTTTCCCAAATCCCCGCCGGTCCCTGCGCTGCAAGTCAAACTTCTGTCTCATGCATTTCAACGTCAGCCACCTCGGGTGTGTCATGGCTGTTTTATTGCTTCTTCTTTCGTCCCCTTCTTCTTCTTGTTCCGCCTTTCTTCGCCGCCGTTTGATTATTTATTCCCGCGCTAGTAGCGACGGTCGCACCGGTGGGGGTCAAACCGTCAAACCGAAATCTCCCTTGCATTCCCGGTCTTATCCGGGCGCGGATAAGGGCTGAGCCCTGAGGTGGGCAGGGGCTGAGGAGGGCGTCCTCGCCACGGGCCGAGGCAGCGGGGCAGCGAGGCAGCGGGGGCCGCTGACTGCCGACGCGGGGGAAGCTAAGGAACCGAATGAGTCCGCACTTCCCCGCGGCCGCCAGGATATTGTTGCGGGTGCCTTACATGACAATGGGCAGCAAGGAGCGGGGCGAGCGGGCCGGCCAAGGAGAAGGGCGAGCGCCGTTTCTGCTTTTTTGGTGGCGGTCGCACGCAGGGCACACAGTGCAGGGCAGCGCGGGGCCAGCGCGGCCGTAAGACGTCGAACTACCACGGCGCCGGGGGAAGGGCGAGCATTCTGTGTGTGTGCGCGTGTGTGTGCGCGCTGACGCTGACCGCGATTTCCTGGATCCCTTTGTGCTGCCGGCCCCGCCGGTATTATGCTTTTGGTCTTCCCCGGACGGCGCCTCGCCCCTATCGCACTTTTTGATTCCTTGCGCTCGTACTACACCCTACACCACTTCCGCACTGTAAGTCCGCGCGAAGTTTTCACGAGGATGATAAAGCTACCGTCACTTTCACTTTGATGAACGCACCTTACTTCGGTCGTACTTCGATAGGTCGATCGTCCCCTATCGATGCCGTCCACGTGCGTGTCTGGCCTGGCCGCGACAGGGTCGTTTTCGTCGTTCTGTCTCTCGCACTCGTGGGGTAGCCCGCGTAGGTGCGAGAGGGACGAGAGAGACAGTGTGCTGACTGAATCCCCATTCACGTGTCTGTGGCCGCTCGGCCCGGCCCGGCCCGTCTGCCAAAGAGTTGGCCGGCCGGCCCGCGCCATCTCCGCCAGTCATCTCTGCGCTCATCGCCTGCCTCGCCGCGCCTCGCCGCGCCTCGCCGCGCCTCGCTACCTAGAAATAGACACGGCCGGACCGCGGAAGGGAAACTTGTTAATAGTGTGGGGGCTATTCTCAAAGCGGCGGGCGGACACGAACGCGCGAACGCGGGTTCGAATCTCGGCCGGGGCGAGATGTTCGGCCGAGATGCCGAGGTGTTCGGGGGAGGCTCGGTCTCCCCCGAGCGGCACGGCACGGCCGTTCGAGAATGGCAAGCATCCGACGCTGGACATTCCGAGACGGGAGGGGCCGCCCTGGCCGCCCAGGCCGCCGCGCCGTGGGGCTTGCGCTGGCGTGCTGCAGTGTGCTGGCGGACGCCCCAAGGCCGAGACCGCCGAGACCGCCGAGACGGAGAACTCCCTGGCCGATAAGGCCCCCCGCCCAAGGCCTCACGGTCACCTCGCAGCTATGCGTGCATGGCGTGGCAGGGCATGGCCTCGGCCGAGAAGCGCCTTCCACAGATTTCACCATTCTCTGGCTCTCCGTTGGGAGTGGGTGCCGCATGTCCTGGCCGGCCGGACGCGCTTCCTGGCGCTTCCCGGATCGAAGCCTGCACCGCCTGTCAGCGCGACGCGGTGGAGACGAGCGGCGCGACACGCCAACAGATTCGCGCTTCCGAAATGTGTTGACACCCTTGTAAAATGTCGCGTGTGTTTACAGCGGTTACTTTTGAAAGCTGTGCGGCCCTTCAGCGCCCTGGCCGCCCTTCCCCGGCCCTTGCCCCCTCCCCCGCGCCCCGCGCCCTGGCCGGGGCCCTGTGGCGGCGTCGCCCAAGTCCTCCCCTCGTGGCGTCATCTTGCGGGAAGTACCTTGAACTAAAAACGTGACCTGCGAGATTCCTCGAAAGTTGGAGTGTTTACAAACGACCGGGAGATGCAGAAAACTTGACGACCCGCGCGGGGAAAGACCTGCCTGCAGATTTGGGCTGCCGGCCGGGAGGGGGGATAGTTGGTGCGCGAGACATGGGGCAGGGGTTGCGTCGATGAAAACAGAATTCAAAGCACTAACACTTAAAAATGGCGACACATCTCATGAAAGAATAAAACGGTATAGACGAAAAAGTATTGTCGAAACTTCTTTGACGGTGCTGCTCCGGCCTGCCGGGTGGTCTAGGCGCCCACGTGGTCTGGCCCTTAATGGTAATGGCAATGGAGGGCAGGCCACCCAACCGACGCGGCCGTCCGCGCGTTGCCTGCTCGCCAGGGGCGCTGCTGCGCTGCACCGCGTCGCTTTGCTGCATTTATTTATTTTTATTAAAATATTTCCCTCATTTTTCACCCTGTTGGTCGCGCGCCTTTTTTTCATACGGTGCCGATCTCAAATTTAGAATCGTATTCATATGTAAGGGGGTGGATGGCACACGGGGGAAGTCGCGCTGGGCGGGGCGGGGAGGGGAGGGGAGGGGGGGAGGGGAGGGGAGGGGAGGGGCCTTCCGAAGGCCGGCGGGGATCCACCAGCTGACGGCACGGGCCCACGCCTCCCCCACGCCACGCCACGCCGCCGGTAAAGAAAAGTTGAGCTCTCCGCCAGATTCCTTCGCGAGTGAAATATATTTGTTTTCTTGTCGATTTTTCTTTTCCAATATTTCACCCGATCCCATGATGACTGCCCCCTCTGCTGCCCTTCGTCGCTGCGCGGGGGGCGAGGGGTGAGGGTGGGCTGGGCGCGAGGGTGCTGGCGCATCATGAAGCGGCCGCCGAATTTTTCATAATCCAAAGAGAAACCGGGAAGGAGGGAAAAAAGAGGTCAAGGTGCACCGGGAAGGGAAGCGGCGCTTCGAACTGTAAATCTGGGAAGACGACGACTTAAATGCACCGTTTGGCCGCGGAGGGGGGAGTGGGGGGAGTGGGAGGGGTGCGGAGATGGAGGACCTACACGCGAGCAATTAGCATATTTGTAAGCGGGGAGGGGAGAAAAAGAGAGAAAGAGAAAGAAGAGTCGCGGCGGCGCCACGCGAAAAAATGTCTGGAAGGAGAGGAGGCGGCCGAAGGCAAGCTGGCGCTAGCTGGCGCGGGCAGAGGCAGTGCTTTGCTGCGGAAATACGGTTGAATAAATGAGGGAAGCGTTTGAGAGAGTCTCTCGGCGGCAACACGCGAGTACACCCCCTTTTTCTTCCTCGGCTGTTTCAGGGTCACTCTCCAGAGTTCCGCGCGGTGGCTTTTCGGTTGTGGATTGGGTGAGCGCTTTTTGACACCATCACTGTGGATCGGCCTGGAAACAGCAGACGTCACGCCGGCCGGCTGGCCGCCGATTTTCCCGAATAAGAGAAAGAAAAGGCTCTGGATGCGCGAGCCGGGAAGGCGGGAAGGCGCGCGCTTTCTCTCGGCCCGAATAATGAGTGCGTTGCTGATTCACATTAGGTTTGCCATGTTGCCGGGGGGGGGGGGGGGCTGAAAGAGATATCGGGGCCTCGAAAGGGGTGTCCCCTCCCCCCGCCCTCCCCAAGCCTCCCCTTGCGTTTCCTTTCTCTACGCGGCTGAGAAAATAAGGGCACAAG